ATTTTATTATAGTATTTGGTTTTATCTTCTTGAGCTGAACTTTGAAATTTTCTGTTCAGCTCTTGGACCTCTTCAATTCTTCCATTTGCTTTAGCATCTCTACGCACAGAACATCACAAACTCAACAACAAAATGATTGGAACGCACTAAAAGATTCAGCAAAGTGGCAGGATGCAAGATCAATAGACAAAATTTACTTGGATTCCTCCTCACATGGTGCTGTAGGATAAGCACTGGACTGTTAACTGCAAGGTTGGCAGCTTGAACCCCTCAGCTGCTCCTTGGAAATGTGATACAGGGTTGCTCTAAGTCAGAACTGACTCAATGGCACTTAACAATAGCAATGAAAACAGCTGTGAAAAAGAAGTCGGGAGAACAACACCATTTCCCATAACTATCCAAAAGATGAAGTATTTAGGAATACATCTAACCAGAGAAAGTAAAGACCTATACAAAGAAACTAAGAACCATTACTACAAGAAACGAAGAGTCTTACAAAAGTGGAAGAGTATGCCATGCTCGTGCAGAGGAAGACGCAACATATTGAAAACGTCAACGCTACCAAAGCAATCTACAGATACAATGCTCTCCCACTCCAGGTTCGAACATTATTCTTTAAGAACTGGAAAAACTAATCAGTAAATTTATATGGAAAAGAAAGAGCTCTCAGATAAGCAAAGCATTACTGAAAAAGGAACCAAGTAGGAAGCTGCTCACTTTCTGATGCCAAATCCTCGCACACAGCTATAGGGTTCCTGACAGCCTGGGACTGGTACAGTGTTGTTGTTGTTATTGTTGTGATGTGTGTGGAGTCGGGTCCGACTCACAGTGACCCTGCACAGGGTTTCTGAGGCTGTTAATCTCTACAGGAGCAGAAAACCTCATCTTTCTCCCGCGGAACAGCTGGTAGTTTTGAACTGCTGACCGTGAGATTAGCAGCCCGATTCGTAACCACTACACTACATAGATCAGCGGAAAAGAATTGAAGAAGTAAATCCATCCACCAAGGGCCAGTTGATCTTTGACAAAGGACAGAAACTCATTAACTGGGGAAGAGTTAGTCGCTTCAACAAGTGGTGCCGGCAAAACTGGAAATCCATTTACAGAGAAGTGAAACAGGATCCATAGCTCACACCATCCATGAAAACGACTCAACGTGGATTAAAAACCTCCATGTGAAACCTAGAGCTATAAGATCATCAATGAAAAAAGAGAGACAAAGTCAGGGGCTCTGATCCATCACAACTGATAACACACAAACAGCAGAAGACAAAATAGATGACCGGAACCACCTAAAAACTGGGCACTTATATTGTGTGTCCAAAGATTTCACCAAAAGAGTAAAAAGAGAACCCACAGATTGGGGGGGTGGGGAATGGCAATGCCCTGTCAGACCAGGGACTACACTCTAAAATTTATCCAACACTTCAACACCCCGACAAGACAAATCATCCAATTTAAAAATGGGCAGAGGCTAGGAACAAACACTTCACTAAAGAAGATACTCAGGCAGCCCTAACCAACATAGGAAGAAATGTGCAAAAATATGGATCTCTTCCGATTGGTTGGCCAATCTGCCAAATTTCTTGCCATAGATGTGTGAGTGCCTCCAGGGCTGCATCAAAGGCCTATAGCCACATGAAAAGACGTTCTATGTCATTAGTCTTTGTTGTTGTTAAGTGCCATTGAGTCAGTTCTGACTCATAGTGACCCTGTATAGGGTCTCCAAGGAGCAGCTCATGAGTTCGAACCACTGACCTTGTAGTTAGCAATTCAGTGTTTATCCTAAAAGTGCCACAAGAAGTTACAAATTCATTCCCTACCCTCAGGATGGCTAGAATGAAAAAAATAAATAAAACAACATGACAAGTATTAGCGAGGAAACTGGAGCCCCCCACCCATTGCTGGCTAGATTACAACATGGTAAAACGTCTGTGGAACAATTTGGTAGTCCCTCAAAAAGTTAAACATTATCATTGTTGTTGTTGAGTGGCATCGAGTCGGTTCCGATCCATAGCGACCCTGTATAGGGTTTCCAAGGAGCCACTGGTGAACTTGAACTGCCAACCCTGCAGTTCAAACAGCTTTGCAGTCTGGCGCATTAACCCACAGCGCCACACCAGGACTCCTAGAACTATCACACGACCCAACAATTCCACCCCTAGGTATGTAGGCAGACGCTGAAGGCAAGAATGCAAGCAGGACATGTACACGTTCATTGCGGCAATCTTCACGCTAGCTGAAAGATGGAAATAACCCGTGTCCATCAACAGATGAATGGGTAAATGAAATTACGGCGTATCCGTAAAAAGGAACGAAGTTCTGATATGTGTCACCATCTGGATGAACCTTGAAGACCAAGTGCTGAATGAAAGGAACCAGACACAAAAGGACAAATAATGTGTGACTCCATTTCTATGGAATATCCAGAACTGGACCATGGTGAGAGATGAAGTTCTGAGACATGAGATGACACGGATGCACCTTGAAAACATGGTGCTCTTGTTGGATGCTGTTGAGTTGCTTTCAAGTCACGCAAAGCCAATATGACTGTGGGGTGTTCGAGGCTGAGATCATGAAAACAGCAGATGGCCAGGCTTTTCTCCATCACAGGCAGAGCTGGGCTTGAACTACCAACCTTTCAGTTACTCGCTGAGTACATAAGTGTACCACTGGGGTGAAATCAGTCAGACACAAAAGGACAAATAGTGTGTGGCGTCACTCATACAAAAAACGAAGTATAAGCAAAGGTCCAGCGACCAAAGTTTATTACTGGTTTCCAAGGGAGTGGGGGATGTGGCTCGAGGGGGCACTGCTCTTCTGTTCAAGGTGATGAGAAAATTTGGAATCAGAAACTAAAAGTGGCTGAAATGGCTAATCCTTCGTTATGTATGTTTCACCACAATAAAACAAAACAAAACGCAATGTCCACTCTGTCCTTTGTGCACTAGACATTCATTGACCTGGTCAGATGTCTGGGCCAGCAGTGGCGTCCCCACCTGGAAGAGCACAGGCTATTGGGACTCCTGGCCCAACCGTTGTAGCAGTGACAAGGCAGCGTAGAGTGCGCACGTGCGGCCTTGGGCCTGGGGCTCCCACAACAACTGAGGAGTGTCCAGTTGCAGGTCTAGGCCACACTCCTCCAGCAGGACCCAGGCAGGGGCCTCCTCACCCCAACTGTTCTCCAGGAGCCCCAGGGGCAGGGACACAGCCCTGGCTACCTGCCACGGGGAGGTCTGTTCCAAGATGTTCCCCACCTGCCGAGACAAGGGACAGTCAGGTGGGGTTCTAGGGAGACATCAGTCCTGAGCCCCTGGACATCCTATGCCCACCTGCACCTCCTTCCTAGTCCTCTCACCAGCTTGAGCTGCCCCGACACCATGCCCATCTCCAATGCCTGGGTCACCAGCAGGCGCTGATCCTCACTCAGAGCTGGAGAGAGACCTCAGGGTAAGGGGGTTCCAGAAGGCAGCAGCCAAGGTGTCTTAGCGCCCCCTGGCCGCCCTCTGCCCACTCCCTGAACCCTCACCAATCAGGGCCTCCAGCAGGTAGAAGATGGGGGCCGTCAGCTCCTTCACCAGTTCTCCGGAGGGCAGCATCAGGCATTCGAGGATAGCGCCCTCTGGGCCACCCCTAGGCTCCATCTGTTCGTCGTCCAGACCCTGCTCCAGCTGGGACACCGGGCGGTGGACAGTGAGCTCTTAGGTGGACTAAGGTCTTGTTCTCTGCCGGCTGCCCACCCCCACACCCCCGTCAGTGCTGGCTACTCACGGCTTCCTCCAGGGCCTGCAGTGCTGATGTATCCAGGAGCAGCTTTATCAGGGCTCCCAGCAGCTCCTGCCGAAGCTCACTGCTCAGGTGCTCCAGGTCCCCAGTCTGGACCTTCACCTCTCTCTGCAGACCCTTGAAGTCCTTGGTGATCATCTCCCACTCCTCCAATCCATCTGTGGGAACACAGGCTGGCATTGCCAGGTTGTCCCCAGAGCCCTGGAGAAGCCAGGTCAGGAAGTGTGGGCCTGAGCCTGGGGGCAGAAGGGACTTGAGACACTGACCGCTCAGGAGCCCACAGCGCCGCCGGATGGAGTGCATCAAAGACAAACAGGAGGCAGGAGGTGGACTGGTACCTGCACTGGAGGCTGGGGACATGTGGGGGAGGGAAGGAGCAGGGTTGGTCAGAGCAGGCCCTTGGGTGCCCTGTCACCGTACCCCCAACACTGGCAGGTTAGGTCCCTCTGTCACCCCTTGTGTCTGTGTGGTTGTGCAAAATGCCCACCTGCCTGGTAGCTGTCTGCCCCCTGCCTTCAGCACAATGAGGAAGAAGTCTCAACATCTATGGGCTGGGGCAGGGCATGACCTACCTAATGGTTTCTGCTGAAAGGTTTTCTGTTTCTTGTCCACAAAGATGTGGATGTCTGGTGGCCAGGTAGGAGCAGAGGAAAGAGGAAACTGGTTGTCCAGGGTTGCCAGCCATTTGCTCACTCACCCCAGCCTCCCTGCCTCAGTCCCCAGCCTGGGGCTCAAAGGACACCCCAAACGCTCACCCCAGTCTTGGTCTGTGATAACCAGTTGGGCCACCTGGAAGGCGAGGATGCTGCCAGACGGGATAGTAACTGTCTTCTTCCGGTTCAGGTGGCCCTGGCCCTCGCCCTGAGGTGGGGGGAGGTGGCTCTATGCTCAGCTCTGGGCTCTGGGCATTAGGCTGTGGGGTGTGAGTGTTGGGGGGCAGGTCTGGTGCTACCGGTGGTGGCCACCATGGGCCTTGGCAGCCAGGCTCTTGGGGTGCCCTCCCGCCACCTTTCTGGAGCCAGTCACACCTGCAAGCACATGGCGCCGGGCAGTGAGAACTGGCTTGAACCTTCTTGCTTGTGGGTGCGGGTGATCTCCACATCCTTTTGTGTCTGCAGCACCTCAGTCACCACGTACACGTTATCCCCTCGGCTGCGTAGCTGTTTCAGGATCTTGTGTTCCGGTTGCCGCAGGCGTCTGGGGTGGGTGGGGCAAGGAATCGTAAAGCTCTGGGTACGCCTAAACACGGGGTCGTCCTGACCGTTTGTGAGCGCAAGGCTGGCATGTGTTACCCCGCCGCTCCTCCTACTCCGCTTCTCCCAGGATTCAGAGTCCCTCCCGAGCCTGATTGTACCCTGGATGACCTCGTAACCAGACTGCCCTCCTCCCTTTCCAGTCTGGCCCCTCCCGCTCCCGCCTGGCCCCTCCCCTTTCCATACATTCCTCCTCCGCAACAGGCCCCTCCCCTTGCTCTGTCCCCCCTCTGCGGTCCTCAGGAAGCAGTTTTGGCCGTTGAGGCCCCAAATCACCTTTGCAGCCTTACTCCGCGCTTCCTGCCTCAGGCCCCGCCTCCAGTACGCAGGGTTTGACTGAACCCCTCACACTTAGCCGAGGCAGTCCCCTCACCCCTCAGGGTCTATGCTGTTCCAACTTGAGGCCCAGGAAAGATGACCTGAAGGGGCTGCTTCCGGTCAGTAGTGCCGGGCTCCGCCGGGGCTCACCTTGCCCCTTGCAAGTCCTCCCAGATTCTGGGGTCCACGCGCAGCGCACACACTTCCATCGAAGCGCTGGAGCTGCCAGACACGGAGGCCCCGCCTGTGATCCTGCCCTGTCCAGGGCCCCCCAGCTCCACGCTGCCCTGTAGCTGGCCGTCCACGGAGTCATGTAAGTGGAAGGAGGTACTGCGCAGCAGGTCTGAGGGAAAAGCAGAGCTGAGGCTGGTCCACCAGTTACCCTGCCCCAGGAGCAGCGCTCCCACCGCATCCAGCAGGGCTGTCTAGTTACCTGGTTCCGGACAATCGGGCACCAGTATGTCCCGGATAGAGAGGTTGACACACGTGTAGCGGGGTTTCCAGAACCACGATGTCGAGGGTTTCCTGCTCAGCAGGCAATAGGGCAAGTAGCCAATGGAGCTCCGCAGGCTGTCCATGGGAATGAGGTTCCCGTGGCGGTCCAGCTCCTGGACCACGCTGCGAGCCACGCCCTCGAAGGCAGACGGCATGCTCTGAGGAAAGCAGACAGGTGAGTCAGGCACCCATTCACAGGCTGCAGGTGAAGCCAGGTGATGCAGGCTGGTACTTTGTGGCCGCCTGCGATGGGGAGCTTTTCCCTTCCATAGCAGCACTGCCCAGCAGTCCTGGCTCACGCTGACTGGCAGAAACCCCTCCCCAGCCACGGGTGAAACAGAAAGTGCACCCACCCAGCCGACCCTTGTCCACTGCCCCATGTGGATATGAGCGCCCTGGCCCAGCACACCGTCTTCAGCGGAACCCCACCTGGGTACTGCCACTCATACCACGTGCTCCCGTCCAGCGTGCCTCCAGGAACCCAGCCTCAGCACCCACTGAGGCCTTCTTCCTGCCAACACCAGTTGGCAGCCTGTAGCTGAGGACCACTCCGGAGAGCAGCAGGGACGGGCTGGGTGCCATGGGGAAGAGACGGGCTGCACAGCCCCCTCCCTGGCTGAGGCCTAGCTGAGGAGCTGAGAGGCTGGGGAGGACTTCCCCGTTGCCCTCCCCCTCCTTCTCAGGTCGCAGGAGCCACCTACTTATGGCGTTAATTCCCAGGATGGGTCAGAGGTGCACGTGAGCCTGACCCAGAACCCACCAGGCCTGACCACACTGCCCTGAGCCGGCCACTCCCATAGGGAGTCAGCGCCTCCATAGGACCTGAAAAACGGGAGGGCACGACGTAGAGACCTTGGGGAGTCCAGCCCAGGCTAGCCCATCCAGTGAGAGGAAGCTTGCTCAGAGTTCCAGGGTCAGCGAAGTGGGGAGGCAGGAACCAGCCCCGCTGCCCACCCTCACCCGTACCTTGTGCGGGTGGCGCTGGGCGCGGGCCCCTGGAGCGTTGCGGGGCGCGGCCGGGGAAGGCTCACTGTGATCCAAGTCCAGGCGCACTGAGCGAAGAGAGGCCGCCCGCCCGGCCAGCTCGGGACGCGCCGCCTCCTCTCCGTAGCTGCCAGACCGCCGGACGTGCGCAAATTTCTAAAGTGAAACCGAAGGCAGACGCAGCCGCCAGTCTTCCCCGGAAATTCTCCAAGGGGCGCGCCAGGGAAGGGTCTAGAGGGGGATTGGGGGCAAGGAAGTGCCTGCTTCCGCCTAGCGTTCCCTTCTTAGAAAGGATTCCTGGTCAGGCTTGAAAAGTCCATGGCAAAGAACTGGGATTCTTCAAGATGTGCCTACAGCCAACAAGCGCAGGAAAGCATGCTCCATACCGTTAATCTTGAAAAACCAACAATGCCAATGAGTCATTGTTGTTAGGTGTCACCGAGTCGGTTTGACAAATAACAACCTTGCATAGGATTTCCAAGGAGCTGTTGGTGGGTTTGAACCGCCAACTTTGCAGTTAGCAGTTCAGTTCTCCTAATAGCCTCCGTATATTGGAAGCAGATTGCCACATCTTTCTCCCACGGAATCGCTGGTGGACTCAAACCTGGGACCTTTCAGTTAGCAGCCAAGCACTTAACTACTGCACCACCAGGGCACGTTCCATCAGTCCTTCCAAACCCCAGCCCACTTCCATGGAGTCGGTTCTGACTCATATCGCCCCTATATGGGTCCAGACGGCAGAGCTTTACCCGAGCAGGTAGCCTCCTCATCTTTCTTCAAAGGTGGGCTGGTGAGTTTGAACCTCCTTTGTGGTTAACCATCAGTATTGAACCCACAGGACCACCAAGGGATCATTTCCACTTACCATTGTTGTTAGGTGCCCTTGGGTCAGTACTGACACAGCGACCTTATGTCCAACAGAATAAAACACTGCCCAGTCCGGCGCCAAGCTCACAATCGCTGCTCCAGCTGAGGCAGTGTGCTAATCCATCTTGGGGGGTCTTCCTCTTTTTTTGGTGACTCTCTTCTCTACCAAGCATGCTGTCCTCCCCCAGGGATTGTTGGTTCCTCCTGATAATATGTCCAAAGTATGAGAGAGAAAGTGGCCATTCTGGCTTAAGGAGTATTCTAGAAGGCTGTCCTTCTTCCAACACAGTAAACCCAAGAGCAATGGAGACCTATGTTAACACAGACATTGTTTATTAATTCATCATCGTTGTTGTTGTTAAGTGCCGTTGAGTCAGTTCTGACTCAGCAACCCTGTATAGGGTTTCTGAGGAGCGACTGGTAAGTTTGAACCACTGACCTTTCGGTCTAGCGCCACACCAGCTCTCCAAATCATCATCATTCTTGTTGTTGCTAAGCGCTGTGGAGTTGGTGCCGACCCATGACCCATAGCGATCTTGTGTAGGGTTTCCAAGGAGCGGCTGGTGAGTTTGAACCACCAACCTTATGGTTCAAACCTACCTTGCAGTCTAGTGCTTTATCCCACAGCAGCAGAGCAGGACTCCAAGAGAGATCAAAACCAAACCTGACTAAATGGAAAATACTCACAGGAAAAGGTTTCATCAAACTATGAGAACATGGCTACCCAAAAGGGGCGGGGCGGGGGCAGGGCTACAAAGGCAAGAAGTGACTGGCTTACCAACTTTCAAGAGGCAACCTAGATCCAGAAGGCACTGAGGAAGGTAGAGTCTCCACTGAGTAGTATCCAACCTGTCTAGGAAGGGCTGATGAAATGAAATGCAGATGGGTCTCTTGTAATGCAATAGTGAATAATTGTTATCAGGACTGATTGTGCGGGTTGGAAAAGTAAAGGTGAACGTTTTATAGCAAGGAGGGGAGTGATTAACTATTCAGTTTAGGAGTGGAGGTCCCTGGGACCATCAATGGAGAAGAGTGGAGAGCAGGACCCTACCCAGAGAAGCAGTGATGCCTGAGATGGAAGCAGAGACCATGCCATGGAGAGATGGAGTGGCTGGGGACTTGAGACCCAGAGAGGGAAAGGGGCTGTGTGCTGATGACCCAGGGGGTGGGTGGGAGGCAGGCTTGCAGGGTATACCCTTTGGTTGATTGATGATGCATGAATGGGATTGTAACTATGGCAATAAAATGATATATGATATAATGAATGTAAAACCAATGGTCTCCCATGTAAACTATCACATAATTCACAATAAAACATTTATTTAAAAAAACACAAAAATTATAAGAACACAAGAGTTGAAATATATATGGCACAGCTGTGTGGAAACCAAACAGTTAAACACATTTACCATAAGTTATGAATTGACTTGCGTCCCCCGACAAAATATCTGTTGTATGAGTTTGAACTGCTGACCTCGTAGTTAGCAGTCTAGTGCTTATCATATAGCACTACAGAAGGACTCCAGTTAGGGACTAGGTTTTCTGTGTTGATGAGACAGTGTGAGAGTGGGGTCTGTCTCCACTCATTCTCTCTCTCTCTTTTTTTTTTTTTT